CCGATGCACCAGAGATGCGGCGCGATCCTCCGACCCCATGCACGCTGGCCCCCTTTTGGGAGGCATCCACGGAGTGCAGGCTCCTCGCACGTCAGGCAGGGCGGAGCAGAGACGCGTGCACCAGCAGCAGGAGTTCTGCAGTCCGCATCTTCGGCCGGAGGGCGGTCATGCCCGACGTCGGAAAGACATGGCGCGGGAAACATCACACTGCTGCAAGGCTAATGTCCTTGAAGCTGGGAGAAGCAGGACGGCGCCAACTATACGTGCCTAGCGGGCGAAGAGCAGCACAACATAAGCTGCCCCGCCATTCGGAGCGACTGCCACAAAAAAGATTGAAAATTCATACCCCGACGTGCCACTGTAGGGGTAGAAGTGTTCCAGTCGCCATGGGGCAGGCGTCCCCGACGGCGGGGAAGCTTATACTGAGACCGTCCCCCGTCCGCCAGCGTATACCGATCCTGGCCGAGCCCACCCTGGGCCCAGGATCGGTGGACATGGCCTCCTGGCCTGGCAGGGAAGCTGAACACACAGCACACAGCACACACACACACACACACACACACACACGCACCCACACACACACACACACACACACACACACACACACACACACACACACACACACACACACACACGCGCACACCGATGCTGCGCCGAGGACGGGCACGGCGAGGACCTGTGCGGGGTGGACATGGCGGCGCCCCTCCCCCGAACGGGGGCGCGGCTCTTGGCACCCTCACAGAGCGCGACCCCCCGCGCAGCTCGAGCCGCTGGAGCTCTCGGACGAGGCTCCGCGGAGACTCCGCAGGCGCATCGGCTCGTCCAGGTCCCGGCGTCACGCAGATCCCCTCGTCCAGCAGGGGCGCGAGCCCGGCAGAACATGGGGGGGGGCGGACGCCGACGTGCCGCCGGCGAGCTCGACGCGCCCGCCGATCACCGCCTGCGGCGCTCCAGAAACGGCCTCGCCTCCGAGGGGTCGAGGCGGTGGGGGGGGGGGGGGGGGCGCCCGTGTTGTCCAGAGTGGGGGGGGGTTAGAGGAACAGCAAGCGGCATGGGCACAACTTTCCAGAGACCCGCGCGGATGTCCTGGGTCGGCGCCGGGAAGCCCCTCCCTGGCGCGCGGAGCGCCGCAGGGGCGACGCCGGAGGCGCCGCCAGGGGGGATGCTAGCGCCGATCCAGGAAATCCGCGCGGATCTCCGAGGGTTTATGGTCATGACTACCTACCAGACCACCCCAACCCAACCCGAAGACCCGAATTTCGGGTTGGGGGGGGTAAGGGTTCCACATCTGTTTTTTCGATGTTTACCGACCCCCCCCCACTGGAAATCGAGGGTAAATCTGAGCCTTCGGGTTGGGTTGGGGTGGCTTAGTGGGTGGTGAGGTCATGCCGTTTTTCTTCTTCGAGTGCATGCCCCAACCTCGTGTCTGCCACGCCAACCAGACCGGAAGGCGGCGACTCCATCTCCAGCCGCGGTGTAGGGCACCTGCCGCAGCCCGGGCCAGCGGCGGCGGGGGCTCAGGCGGCCCTGCGGGGCGACCGAGGCGGTACCTCTTGCACGTGACCCTTCTTCGCCAGGAACCGCGCCGACTTCGCACTTGCCCTTCTCCGCCGCGACCATGGTCTTTGCATCGTTGGCGGCAGCCGTGCGCACCCGCGCAGGCACTGAGCGGACAACCTGCTGTCCGTTCATTGAAGAACAAAAATATCTGCATCAACAGAAACTTCTGGAGCACCGCGCGGTTCTCTTGGATCCGCGCTGGGCCCCCCTGGCGGCGCCTCCAGCGCCGCCTCTGGCGCGCTCCGCGCGCCAAGGAGGGGGGTCCAACATCGATCCAGGAAATTCGCATGTGGCGCCCGAAGTTTATGCTCATGCAGCGTTTGCTCTTCGAGCGCAGCTCGGAGGGCAGCCTCTCTCCGCCCCCGCTTGCCTTGGGCACCCGTGCGGCCGCCTCGCCGCCGGACCGCTGCCCGCACGGCGCCCCTCGGCCGGGGCAGCGGCTGCAGGACCGGAGCGGCCCGCAGCGCCCACCCAGGGAGGCACAGGCCTACTGCCGTGCACGCCCGTGCGGCAGCGCCCGCGCACGCGCGAGGGGCGTCTCTCCGAGGACGGGAGCGCACACGCGCGCAGAAGCGCCGTCCAGGCGGGTGCAGGCAGTGAGCGTGGCAGCGCCAGTGCCGCGAGCAGGCTGGCACTCGGCGCATCTGGCGTGGAGGGGGACGGGAAGTGAAGGGCAGCGTCAGGGGCAACGTTAGGAGTTCGAGGTTCGAATGTCGAGGGAATCTGGCAATTTTCGGCCGTTCTGATCAGTCCTCGCGGGTTTTCCAGCCTCGGGGTGCGATCCAGCGGCTGCGCCTCGCCGAGAGCGTTCCGGGGGTGCCCGGTTCGTTCCGAACGGCCGCCGGAGAGCCGAGTTACGGCCGGGAAAGACCAAGCATTCGGAGGAAGGCCGTATGGCCCGCAAGCCAAAGGGCAACGCCAGGGGGGGAACTGACTCGAGCTCCAGTTTTTTTGAAACCACATGGCGCGCATTATGTGGCTGGGTGGGCGGGTGGGTGGGTTCGCTGGCACATAACATAAAACAGTCGTGCCTAGCCGTTCGAATGTTTTTTCTGAAAGCAGTGTTTTTGTTGCCACTCTTGGTGCTGATGTAGCGACATGGCTTTGCAGCTGCGATCGCCACCAGGCGCGTTGACACCGCAATGCCCGTTTTCACCACGCACGCTGATGCAGCACCCTACGCATGCACCACATCGTCTGTGCACATCACAATGAGTGGGTGCATGGTAGTGCTCTTGTGCACCACAATGCCTGTGTACACACGCGCACGCCACAACGCCTTTGCACAGCACAGCTGCGGCCACACGAACCCGTTCCGCGTGCACCACAGCGCCTGTGTACAACACGATCCGCGCGCACACCACAGCAGCCGCGCGCAGAGCGGCGACTGGCGCCTGCGTGCGCCACACTGTGTATGTACAACACAGAGCCCGCGTACACTTCGAGGGCCCCGACGGGGCCCACAAACCGAAACTCGCGTTCGTTGGGGGGGCGCCAGCGTATCACACTGAATGTGTAAGTTTTTTGTGGTCATTGTTTTTTGCCGCCTGGATACCACTCTGGAACGTTTGTCCTCCTCTTCCTCCTCCTCCTCCTCGTCCTCGTCCTCGTCCTCCTCCTCCTCCTCCTCCTCCTCCTCCTCCTCCTCCTCCTCCTCCTCTTCCTCCTCCTCCTCCTCCTCCTGCGTGCGGCCGCGGCGACGAAGATCCCTCCAGAGGGGGAGGACCCTTGGCGCCTCGAGCTCACGTGTGCCGCGGCCTCCTCCGGGAAGGCCATGGCCCAAGAGGGCTCCGAGAGGGTGCCGACGCGGCTCGAGAATGCCCCAAGACAGCCGACGCGGCTCGAGAATGCCCCAGGACAGCCGAAGAAACGCCAAAGACTGCCAAGGGGCTCCCAAGACGGGGACCACCAACCGACAGTCCGAACCGCCCGCCCCAAAACGCCCCCAGGAGGCCACTAGTCACCCAAGAAGCCCCTGAAGAGGTCAAAAACAAACCCAAGAGCGCGCCCACAGGGGCTGAAGAGGCTTAAATCCCTCCCTTTCCTTCATTGCCCCCCGCGTTTGCCCGTTGTCTTCGTCCTCATCCTCCTCCTAATCCTCCTCCTCCTCCTCCTCCTCCTCCTCCTCCTCCTTCACCTGTTCCTCCTTCTCCTCCTCCGCCTCCTCCTCCTCCTCCTCCTCCTCCTCCTCAACCTGTTCCTCCTCCTTCTCCTCCTCCTCCTGCTCCTCCTCCTCCTCCTTCTCATCATCATCATCATCATCATCATCATCATCATCATCATCATCATCATCATCATCATCATCATCATCATCAGCATCATCATCATCATCAGCATCATCATCATCATCAGCAGCAGCCATCAGCAGCAGCATCATCAGCAGCATGCATCAGCATCATCAAGAGCATCATCATCCTCAGCATCAGCAGCAAGCAGCATTTCAGCAGCTATCAATCTCATCATCATCATCATCATCATCTCATCATCATCATCATCATCAATCATCGTCAATCGTCCATCGTCTCGCATCATCTCATCATCATCAGCATCATCTCATCAACATCATCATACCTCGGTCAATCATCATCAGCAGCATCAGCAGCAGCATCATCATCAGCATTAGCATCAGCATCACCATCATCATCATCATCATCATCATCATCATCATCATCATCAGCATCATCATCATAATCGTCATCATAGGCATCATCATCATCCTCCTCCTCCTCATCATCATCATCATCATCACCACCACCACCACCACCACCACCACCATCATCATCATCATCATCAGCAGCAGCAGCAGCATCATCATCATCATCATCATCAGCATCATCATCATCATCATCATCATCTTTCTCCTCCTCCTCCGCCTTCTCCTACTCCTCCTCATCGTCCTCCTCCTCGTCCTCGTCCTCCTCCTCATCCTCCTGCTCCTCCTCCTCCTTCTCATCATCATCATCATCATCATCAGCATCATCATCAGCAGCAGCATCATCATCAGCAGCAGCATCAGTATCATCAGCATCAGCATCATCAGCATCATAATCGTTATCATGATCATAATCAGAATCGTAATATTCATCATCAGTATCATCGTCATCATCATCAGCATCAGCATCATGGTCATCATCATCATCACCATCATCATCATCATCATCAGCATCATCAGCATCATCATCAGCATCAGCATCAACATCATCAGCATCAGCAGCATCAGCATCATCATCACCATCACATTAGCTTTTTCCTACCAGCACAGAATCTGCTCACACCATCCATCATCATCATCAGCAGCATCATCATCGACATCATCATCATACCCTCCCCCCCTCCTCCTCCTCCTCCTCCTCCTCCTCCTCCTCCTCCTCCTCCTCCCTCCCTACTCATCTGCTTCCTCCTCATCCTCCTCCTCTTTCCTCCTCCTCCTCCATCCGCTTCCTCTGCCCCTCCTCCTCCTTCCTCCTCCTCCTGCTCCTCCTTCTCCTCCTCCTCTTCATCCCTCTTCCCCCCCCGGCCCCTCCTCCTCCTCTCCCCCCTCATCCTCCTCTCCCTCCTCCGCCCTCGCCTCCGCCTCCTCCTCCTCTCCTCGTCCTCCTCCTCCTCTCCTCCTCCTTCCTCCTCCCCCTCCTCCCATGCCCCTCCCCCTCCCCCCCTCTCCTCACCCCTCCCCCCGTCCCCATCCCCCCCTCCTCCTCTCTCCTCCTCCTCTCCTCCTACCTCCTCCTCCTCCTCCTCCTCCTCCTCCTCATCCTCCTCCTCCTCTTCATGCTCCATCTTCTCCTCGTCCTCCTCCTCCTCCTGCTCCTCATCCTCCTCATCGTCCCCTTCTTCTCAGCACGATTAGTATTACTATCAATATTATTATCGCCCGCATTATGATTGTCATCCTGATTATTCGTATTAGTAGTGCTACTGTTATTATTGGTCGCCTTATTAATAGTATGAGCATGCACCATGGTATAAGTATTACAAGCATTATCTGTAGTAGTATTATTAGTAATACAATACATATGAAATGAAACATGTTATTAACAGTACCATCATCATTCCTGATAGAATTGTTAGTGTCATTATTATCACCCGTGTTCGTATTATTAGTAATGATATTACTAGTAACAGTATTAGTATTAATATTAGTACAACTGATAGTATTAGTATTAGTAGTCGTATAAGAATTCATATTAGTATTAGTAGTAGTATTAGTATTAGCAGTCGTATTAGTATTTGTATTAGTATTAGTATTAGTAGTATTAGTATTAGTATTAGTATTAGTATTAGTATTAGTATTAGTATTAGTATTAGTATTAGTATTAGTATTAGTATTAGTATTAGTATTAGTATTAGTATTAGTATTAGTATTAGTATTAGTATTAGTATTAGTATTAGTATTAGTATTAGTATTAGTATTAGTATTAGTATTAGTATTAGTATTAGTATTAGTATTAGTATTAGTATTAGTATTAGAGTATTAGTATTAGTATTAGTATTAATATTAGTATTAGTATTGGCATTCGAATTAGTATTAGTATTAGTATTAGTATTAGTATTAGTATTAGTATTAGTATTAGTATTAGTATTAGTAGTATTAGTATTAGTATTAGTATTAGTATTAGTATTAGTATTAGTATTAGTATTAGTATTCGCATTCGCATTCGTAGTCGTATTAGTATTAGTATTAGTAGTAATACTAGTGTTAGTGTGAGTATCAGTATTAGCTTTAGTATCCGTACTAGTAGTATTAGTATTAGTAGTAGTATTAGTATTAGTAACAGTTGCATAGATATTACTCTTAGCATTAGTCGTATTAGTAGTACTCTTTGGTATCCGAAATCATCTTATTCGTCGTAGTCGTCGTCTTCTGCTCATTACTATTACTCGTCTTCGTATGATTCTCCCCTCCTCCTCCTCTTCATCCTCCTCCTCCTCTTCCTCCTCATCCTCATCCTTCTCCTCCTCCTCTTCGTAGTCCTCATCCTCCTCCTCCTCCTTATCCTCATCCTCCTCGTCGTCCTCCTCCTTCTCGTATCCTTCCTCCCCCTCCTCCCGCCCATCATCATCATCATCATCAGCATCATCACCACCACCATCATCATCATCATCATCAGCATCAGCATCATCATCATCACCACCATCACCATCATCAGCATCATCGGCATCGGCAGCATCAACATCATCATCGTCATCAACACAATCATCATCAACAAACTCAACATCATCAACATCACCACCATCATCATCACCACCACCACTATCATCCTCATTACCATGATTCATCATCTCCTCCTCCTCTTCTTCCTCCTCCTCATCATCATGATCAGCATCATCATCCTTCGCATCCTCATCCTCATCCTCCTCCTCCGCATCCTCCGCCTCCGCCTCCTCCGCCTCTTCCTCCCCTCCTCCTCCTCCTCCTCCTCCTGCTCCTCCTCCTCCTCCTCACCCTCCTCCTCCTCCCCCGTCTCCTCCTCCTCCTCCTCCTCCTCCGCCTCCACTTCCTCCTCCTCGTCGTATGATTATGAGTCTTATTAGTATTAGTCTTCTTCTCTTGATAATGATTAGTATTCGTGCTAATATTCTAATGATTCGTCTTCTTACGAGTACTCGTCTTCTTAGTAGTGTTAGTATTCTTAGTATTCTTCAGATTAGTCTCACTCTTCTTAGTTCCCGTAGTATTATTATGGTTCGG